TTTTACTAACATCTGCAGTGATTGATTTACCGATGGAAGAGTCTGTCAGTGAACATTTTACTAACATCTGCAGTGATTGATTTACCGATGGAAGACTCTGAACATTTTAGTATTTTTAACTATTTTACAGTTTTTACGAACGTCTGATTCAATTTGATTTACCGCTGGGGATTGCACTCACTGGACAGATCTGGGTGAGCTCTCCAGCCTTTTTAAGTCCGTTGTTTTCTGTTATCGGTACGGACTTTGTGGCTGAGGGTGTTATAAAGCGGACTGCGCACTTCCTTCTGATTGCGCCGGCCAGTGGACGAAGGGGCGAGCTCCAGCTTCGTTGTTAAGTCATGATCGTATCCGTTCTCGATACAGACTTTTTGGCTGCGGGTACCAGAGCAGACGGTGCACGTCACTGTGATTGCGCCTGGGGTGCAGGCGAGCTCGAGCCTACCGTAGTTCAATCTGCTCTTAAACCACCAGACTGTGGTTCCGAGGCACTTTTGTCCGAGTCTGGAAATGCCCCACTCGGCGCCTGCCAAGCTTTGTCGAAGCCGCCGGCACAACTTTTTTTTTTTTTTTTTTGTTTCCCCCGTTTGTCTGGTGCTGCCAGCCATTGTGGTCTGGTAGGCCCGAAGAGCCCACTTAACATGGTGCGAATATGACAAGGCCCCGCGGCCGATATAGGGACCAAGTACTGGTGGTTTAACCACAGTGACTTTGTTGGCTGATGGTGCGAAAGCCGACTGTGTACGTCCTTGCGATTGCGCCTGGTCCCGGATTGAATGCCGGCGAAATCCAGCCTCGTCTAATCCGGTCTCATTATTTACTCTGTAGAATCTGTACTTATCGGTTCTGCATCATGATAATGGCATTGTGGCTGAGCTCAGGGTGACCGTCCTAAAAGCAGACAGTCACTGCGGACTCGGACGTCCTGGTGACTTTGCCAGGGTGCAGGCGTGCTCCGCTCGAGAGACCGCCAAAAAAGAAAGAAAAGAAAGCGTGCCTGGATGCTGGCGAAATCCAGCCTCGTTTAATCCGGTCTCGTTCAACCACCAGACTGAGTACATCCAGCTATGGGCCACGGGACCTTTTTTTGGAGGCCGCCCGCCGCCGATTGGATTTATCTACGGCGGCGCTGGGCCTCCGAATATTTCGTAGGCGACGATTTTTCTTTTCAGCAAGGCTGGGGCCGTGTACTCGCGGTTTAAAGTTTACAGTTTTAAACCACCAGTAACTGCTAACTACACCCGGGTCGGGTGGCGCCTTACTGCGCACCAAGCTTTTCCAAACCGCCGGCGGCGCCAGCAGCGCACTTTCT